CTTGGTCCCCAGATGGTAGCATTATTTTGGAAACTTTGAGAGGTGGAACCTACCTGGATGAGGTCCCTGGCTGGAGCAGGAGGAGGGTAATGGTCATTGAGGCTGTGTAATTCCTGCCCGCTGCTGGGCTCGCTGCTTCCTGGCCTCTGTGATGTGAACTGCTTTGCTCCAGTGTGCCTTCTCTACCATGAGGGTGAGTCTTCCACAACCAAAATCAATCTTTTTTTCCTTTCAAGGTGCTCTGTCAGGGATTTTCTCACAGTAATGCAGAAGTAAGTAATACAGTAAATGTTAAGACTCATAACTTTTAATTTTATAGGCCCACATTAATAAATTAGACAGTAATTTTAGAAAAGCACATGAGAAAAATTTGCTGTGTTTTGATTCATTCTGTTAAGATTTTGTGAGTATCCACATGTTTGAGGTTTTACTAGATTTTGTAGGAGGGGAATTGAGAGATTTAAGCCATGCCTTTCATGTTTGGTAGAGGAGATGTACCTTCAGAGAGGTATATATAATGGGTCAGAGAAAGGAGAGGCCCTGCTAGTAAGCAGTGAGACTTCTTAGAAGAGGTGGCTGGTATGTGAGCTCTTTGTTGTTCTCTGACTCATTATGTAGCTGAGGATGCCTTGGACTTCTGATCGTCCCTGCCTCCCAGGTGAGAGGCTGGGATCACAGGCATGTGCCAGCCTACCCAGTTTATGTAGTGTTGGGGAACTGAACCCAGAGACTCATGCATGCTAGGCAAATACTCTGCCAATTGAGCCACATCCCTAAGTTCCTAATTTATCATTATTTTGATACCTCAAGCTCAGTCATTTTTGTTATGTTTCCCTTCCCGAGATGTTGAAGCCACTGTTTTATTTCTCTTCTTTCCAGTGGACTTAAAAAATTTTCAGTTCTGCTCCCGCTACTTTACTTCTGTCCATCATCCTGGCACTTGGATCCCTGAAGTAATCTGATACAGATCATCTTCCTCTTCCTCCTCTGTTCTCAGCATCCCCATTGCTCACTGTCTGCCATTGTTGGAGTGTTGCTGGACTGCTGTGTTCTAGGAAAATGGAGTGGTGAGGGAAGTAAAGAGACCTGAGATGATAAAAGGAGCCTGTATCAGCTCCAAGCGGGAGTCAGCAGTGCAGAGTGCGGTCAGGGGCAACTGGAGGGAGTGGGGCCTAAGGCTGTGGGAGGGGACGTAGACATTTGGAGAAGGTGCTCTGTGGGATATAGAGTGGAAGGCAGTGAGCTCAGGAAAATGGAGGGGTGGAACTCCCACTTTTGGTGGTTTGGAGAAGTGAGTGGAAGAATTGCTGGGACAGGTCTGTGATGGGGCTGGCAGGCCATCATTGTATGCAGGGCTTTACTCTGTGAAGTAAGAAATACAGAGGTGACTGAAAATAGGAGGTGGGGGGAGGAGATGTGTAGAATACATGTATATATATTTATATTTATATACATACATACACTTGAATTAAGACTTACACCACCCCACCCTGTTTATGCAGTGCTGGGGATCAAACCTAGAGCTTTGTGCATGCCAGGCAAGCATTCTGCCAATTGAGCTACATCTTTAGCCCCCAAAATACTTAAAAAAATTTTTTTTGTGTGTGTATTTATGTATGTGCTACAGTACACACGTGGGTGTGGGGCAATCTCAGGTATTGATTCTCACTTTCCGCCTTATTTTATAGTCTCTTGCTGCTGTGTACGTCAGACTAAGCTGACCTTCAAGCTTTGGAGATTCTAGTATCTCTGCTTCCCATCTTGGGATAGGTGGGATGATAGATGTGTGCTAAACGTGCTTGGCTTTATATGGGTTCTGGATTGGAACTCACACTTGTGTGGCAAGCTCTTGACTCACTGAGCTATTTCCCAAGGCCCCCAGAAAATACCGTTTTAAATAAATCTGGAGGTGCTATGTAGGGTGGCTTTGAAGGGAAGGAAAGCCAATTTAGGAGACTTGGCAGGATCTAGTTGTATAATTTCGCTTCGTTTCTCTAATTCGTTTTAGTCATGGGGGCTGCCAGGTGAATTTTGACGGGCTCACTCCCTCAGGTGCTATTGACAGTTCCCCACAGCTTGCCCAGTGATTCTTCTGCTGGCTTTGGAGGGCTCCACGGCCACACTACAGCCTTCTGTTCATCTCCTTCCCCTTCAGGCGTCAACTCATTTCCCACAAATGACGTTTACTCACAATGATTCCACTTCCCACTTTCTCCACTGCTTGGAAAATTCTTCTGATTGAAATCTCCTCGGCCAGCTTTCAGCATATACATGGACCCTTCTGGGCTCCTCTCAGCCTGAGGGCGCCCACCTGGCCCCTGAAACCTGGTTGACACTGTCTCCATTTTGATAACCAACAGCTGGCATGGCTGAAGAAGCTACAAAGAGTAGCTGCTTAAACTGCTAATCAGTGCTCACGTTGTTTACCTGCTTTTGTATTTTATTTCTCCTCTGGGTTTTTAACCTCCTGAAGGGCTGGGGCCATGATTAACGCTCCTGATGGCCACAGCCGTTAAGTTTTCATCCATCACAGCTCTAATGGTGGTATTCTGAGCATGGTACTCTCTGACCTTCAGTTGGGCTTTAATCTCTCCAACAGCCAGAAAGAGCACAGAAGATGCTGAGGACCCAGCCGGAGAACAGGTTAGAACATCCCAGTTTTCCCTGTGGAGGTAGGCACCAGGTGGGAACATTCGGAGCAACTTTTTGTTTCTTCTGGTTTCCTTCTGTAGGAGTTTTCGCTAATCATAAAGTAAGTGAGGGAAAAATCCTTCTGTGTTGGATGTTGGATTTACAGCTTTGCTCACGGTGGGAACAGTACGATTTGATTCTAGTATCTTGTGACACCATTCCTGGAAAACCAGGAATATGATGTCAACTAAGTTAAACTTTAAAAAAAGTTACTTTTACCTTTTTAATATGTAGGAGTGTTTTTCCTGTGTATATATGTGTGCCACATGTGTGCAATGCCCACGAAGGCCAGAAGAGAATGTCAGATCCCCTAGAAGCAGAGTTATAGCCTGGACTTGGAGTTATAGTTGTTAGCCGCCATGTGGATGCTGGAACGGAACCCAGGTCTGTCGGAAGAGTAACCAGTCCTCTTAACCACTGAGCCATCTCCCCAGCCCCCAAGTTAAACTTTCTGGGTTCCATCTTTCCAGAAGTAAGTTTAATATGGATGCAAATACCGTTAAGTGGGTAAAAACACTCAGCAGAAGTAAAATCAGCTTTATATGTATGAGAGAGATTATTGTAAGCTTATAGGCTAACCAGGGCCTAAAGGTAGGAAAACTTTGCCTAGGACTATAAGGCGCTCTTTAGATGAAGGCAGTGTGCGTTAAGAGATTCTAGGCTAGATTTCTTCCCATTTCCAGAGTTGACAGGGGTGTGAGGTAGTTCAGAACTTTTATTAGGGGTTTGGGGCTCTTAATTCTGCAGTGATGTGGACCTGTATTAAAATGTAAGAGATGAAAATTGGAACTGTAAAACTGGCTGAAGCTTCCCTCTATGATGTGCAAAAAATTAATAATACGAGAAAGAGTGGGCAGAGAACGTGCAGACAGATAAACAGTTTTAAACTTTCCTGCTGTGAAAACATTTATATGGGAACAGTTGACCTGCTAATTAGAAAACATCCGTGCTTGTTCATTAAACCAATTATCCTGAGGAATTCTGCTAAGCAACACTTAGTCTCAAGCTAATTATTATGTGGCCTTGAAAGCAATAAACTGTACTTTTAGAATTTTATAATTTAGGCACATGCATGATTTTATGCAGACATTTCCCATAATTAGAATAGCACAGTAATGGAGGATTATATTTTGGTTCTTGTGAAAATGATTTATCTACTTCTTCGTAGGAAGGTTATAATGAATTATTGAATTATTAGATGTCTGTTTAGATCTGAAAAGTCCCTGGAGATCTTCTTGTTTAAGAGGTTTTTTTTTTTTGATTGCTTTGACTCTTAGATGATTAAGAAAGTTTAGTTTGTAGGAGGGGGTATGTATGCAGCAGGGAGGAGTAACCAGAACACATAGACATGTTTAAAATTGTCAAGGAAGAAAATCAATAGAAGTTATAAAAAATATAAAAACAATTTAGAGAATGGAAAAGTAATTACTTTTTTGTCATAAACGGAAACATCATTCTTAAATAAGTGAACCCATTGTTCAGGCAGCTACTTTATTCCACATCTATGACTTTATCTGGCAGAGCTTTTTCTAAGTGGGGGCACCGGCTAAGAGATGTAGTAAGAGAGCACAGAAGGTAGACTCCGTGGTCTATTGGTAACAAGCTGTGGAAGCCAATCAGATGATCTAAGAGGACAAGCTGTGCAGTTGAGAACTTGGGTGGTCCTGAGCCTCACGTGTCGTGCCACGTGCTTTAGGGGCATGCAGGACCTGGTTAGCAGCTTCTCTTCAAGCTATGATCTGAGTGTTCTCCAGCAGAGTGAGCGTGGCACGTTCGTGCTTCATTCAGATCCTTTCTCTGTTACTGGGGATGACCGTGGCATCCGTTTCCAAGGGCTGTTGTGAGGCTTCGATGAGTTCCTCTGTGAAGGACTTCATTCACTCTACCCTTCATCGCTCAGTCACTCAGTCCCTGTCTATTATGTGGTGACTGCAGGGCCCAGACAAGGACCAGTAAGACAAGGTCCTTCTGTCGGAACCTGACTGCCAGTGCGAAGAGACGCACCAGAAATAAACGAATGAACGAGACCAAATAGTAATAAATGTTACACAGGACATAAAAGAGAGTGATGGGGAGTGGTCAGTACTAGCTAAGGTGGGTGGGAGTGGCTTCTGAGAGCCTGGCACTTTAACTGGGACCTGAATGACAAGAGACAAATGTCAGCTCCCCCTTGAGCTGGTGGCCCACTCTATTCCTATTTTCAGATCTTACCATCACTATAAAATCCTTTCCAGCAAGATTCCTGGAGGAAGGCTTTAGGCCCTCTCCCACCAGCCCCTGTTCTGAATTCAATTGTTTCTCCTCAGACTTCAACCTGGAAGAATCCAAATGTTCCCAACCCTGGGCACCCTTCCTTCAGCTCCAGCTGGGTACTCGCCTGCCTTGTTCTGCCTCAGTTTCTGGAGAAGCTGGGCTCTGTTGTTGCCACATGACAGGAAGTAGAGAACAGGATTGAGGCAGCTGCTCATGCTCACCACAGGCCTCAAGGACTTGTAGGCCATACTGGATGCCATCAAGAGCCAGCAATCCTGTGAACTCAGGAAGCGGACGGCCAGGTAAAAGGAACGGGTAATATGGAAGGGCACAAAACAGAGGGTGAAGAGGATACACACCAGCAGGATGGTCCGGATGGACTTGGCCCGGGCAGTGTGGCCTATCTCTGGGAGGACATCCTCTGGCTTTGTCAGACTTCTGACCATCAGACAGTAGCACACCAGAATGACCAAGGAGGGGAAGACAAAGCCAGACAACGTCAGAACAATGCCATAGGAAAAATAATGATCAAAATTCTTTGAACTGGCCATGTCATAGCAGATCATTTGGCCATTGACATAGTCTGTGTCAGAGAAGGCCAGTGTGGGCAACAGTTGGAGGACCACCAGAATCCAGGTGGCAGCAACTGTCCACCAAGCATGCCGGTGGGTCCGGTAGGGCAGTGAACGAAGTGGGTGGCACACTCCTAGGAAGCGGTGCACAGAGATGCAGGTTAGCAGCAGGATGCTGCTGTAGAGGTTGGTGTAGAACAGGAAACGCACCAGCCTGCAGAGCAGCTCCCCAAAGATCCAGGTGTTGCCCACAGAGTAGGTAACAATGAAGAAGGGCAGTGTCAGCACATACAGCAGGTCAGCCACCATCAGGTTCACCAGATAGATGGTGGTGCAGCTCCAGGGCTTGGTTTGGCAGCAGGCGAGCCATAAGACAGCACCATTTAGGGGTAGCCCCAGGATGAAGATGAGACTGTAGGTTAGGGACAGGTAGACTTGCTTGTAACTCTCAGAGAAGTGGCAGGCATCTTGCTCCTTTGAGGCATTTGTGTCCATCTTCTCCATCTCCAAGGAGGCTCCCTCCAGGAGCGCAGGTCTGCCACGATTTCCACTTCTGCTTCCCCTAGGAGGAAACACAGCATCAGTACCTCAGCCAGGCACTGGTCTCTCTTGATCTGACCTTCAACTTTGCTCCCAAAGTCAGAGGCTTTGTTTGAACACAAACAGCTCCAGGTGGAAAGAGTTAAACCCAAGATAAACCGATCTTCAAACTCAAGGCAGCTAGACTCACGGGGCCCAGAGGAGTGGCCTTACCTTGATTATGCTCTCTGCTTTTGGGAGAAGTGAAATTAGGGGTCTCAGCAGCATGGTGGCTAGAAGACAGTGCTGTCATTTAAACAGGGCCCAGAGAACTGCCAGCTCAGTGACTCCTCCTTTTGCTGAAATCCTTTGCATAGACTCAGGAACTCTCTTAGGGGAGACACTCCAGTCGAGAGGCTGGTGCATTCCCAGGGATGGTTTAATACTTCCCACAACCTGGTGCTAGCCCCATACAGCATTGTGGAGTGGAAAGTGACCCTTAGGGTTTCAAGAGGATTAGGGAAAACACAATTTTTGCCTATAGGCTCTGCGGGAGGATTTTGATTTGTATCTCTTTTGAGATTTATTAACTGCTGATTTGAATACTGAGGGTGATTTGCTTATTAGCCCCCTCAGCCTCCTGAATGCTTAAGAAAACAATGTTGAGCCATGAAGCCAGGTGCAGCTTCTTCCATAACTCTAGTCCTGCTGGCAAAGCAGGTCCAAAGGGTGGCCCTGAGTAGCAACAGAAGCTGTGTGCAGGGCCAGAAGGTTTCTGTCACATTAGGTCAGTCAGTGTGTGGCCAGCCAGTCAACAAGGAGCTGGGAATTGAAAGAAGTTTTAACTCCAGGGCTTAACATTAGGGACTCACCATTTAGAAAGACAAGTTAAAACACAGGAGAGGAATAGAGGCAGTGTGGTGATGTACACTTGTAGTCACACCTACAAGGGAGGCTGAGGCAAGAGGATCAGCTGAACCCAGGGTTTCAAGCCAAACTGAACATTATAGCAAAACCTTCCCCCGCCCAAAACAACCAAATAGCAACATTGAAAAAACACAGCAAGAGAGAAATATTTAAGGTAAATAGTTTGGGGATCAATTAAGTGTTGACTCTGAACTATAATATGCAGATCTTTATTTGCAACAAAAGCAACAGGATTTAGGCTGAGGAGAGAGCTGAGTGGGCACAGTGCCTGCTGTGCAAGCATGAGGACCTAAGTTCGAGCCCCAGAACCCATGTGAAAAAAGGCAGCCATGATAGTGCACACTTGTAATCACAGTGTGCAGAGGCGGTAACGGAAGGATCCCTGGGGCTGACAAACCAGTCTGTCCTGCTTAGTTCCAGGCCAGTGCAAGATCTTGTATCTAAAGATGAGGCAGAATGGAACCTAAGGAATGACACCTGAGGTTAACCTCTGGCCTCCACACACCTGCACACGTACATGCACATATACACACGGCAATAGGACTTCATTCCCTCTATCATCCAATAATCATTTTGAACATTTACAAAGATGAAGACATAGCTATTGCTCTGCAGGATCTAACAGCTCGGTGGGAAAGTTAGAAATGGATACAGCTAATTGTAATATGTGAAAAATGGTCAAACCAAAGCTGTGAAAAGCAGCAGGATACAGCCAGTCCTCTCCTGAGCAAACGGAGTAAAGGCTTCTTAAAATAGGCAACACTTGAGCTTTTGGGAGGAGAACAGACAGGAGTTTGCTAGGCCGGTGAGGGACCTGATGGCAGGGGGAGGGACATGCAAGCAGATGGCTGCACAAAGAGTGCTGCGTGGCTGCAGATGGCGGTGCATCAGCACTGGGGAGGACGCAGCTGTGAGGAAGGAGATTCCGAAGCAGGGTGGCAATGAGGCTGTTGTGGTGGTTACCTATTGGGTGTCCACTTGATTGGGTTAAGGGCTACCCAGAGAGCTAGTGGAATGTTATTCCAGGTATGTCTGGGAGAGTACTGCCAGAAGAGATTGGCATTTGAATCAGTGGAAGGAAGATCCTCACCCAGTGTGTAGGCACCATCTAATCAGTTGAGGACTAGGTAGGCCAAAAAAGTGGAGGAAAGGCAAATTCCCCCCTCTCCACTAGAGCCGAGAGCTCCTGCTGTCCTTGGACATCAAAACTCCAGTATCTCTGGTCCTTAGACTCCAGGACTTGCACCAGGCACCCCCTGGCTCTCAGACTTTCAAACTTCAACTGAACCCTGCCACCAGGATCCCCAGTTCCCTAGTGTGCAGCCAACAGGAGTCGACTCCTATAGCTCCCAGCTCATCTCTGTACATTCTATTGGTCCTGAATGGGGAAGTCTAAATAACACAACGGTGTTTGAGGAAGATATTGGTAACAACATAGAACTCGACCTTGAGCAGGGAGAGACCAGTCAGACCAGGAAAAGGCTGTTGTAGTGTGTGCAGGTGAGTCATCTTTGCCCAAGCAAGGTCATGCTGTGTGGACACAGAGCTGGGACCTGACAGGACAGTCACTACAGTGGTAGAGGTGCCAGACCTTAACATGAGGCACAAGTCTGAGGAGAAGTTGAGGGTCCTTGAGTTCTTCGGCACTGGGGACTGGTGCATGGCGAGACCAGGGCCCGAGAGGAGCGCATGGTGGAAAATTGGTTCCTGAGATTGTAGGGGAAGGAGGCTCTCTGTACCTCAGCATGCCAACAGCCCACTGCCCTGTTGATTGGCTTTAAAATACCTGCCAGGAAGAGGAAAGCTTTCTGGCTTGGAGAGGGAAATGAATATAGTTTTCATTCATTTTGTTCCCTATAATCTTTCACACTGGGGTGCTGGCAAATGCTTAGTTATTGTTAGTGAAGCTGCTTTTCCAACTCAGTGTGGGCTCTCAGAGGGAAGCTGAGGAGGGAATCAGGCCTGGAGTTGCTGACTTGGGCCGAGTGCTCACACATGTGAATAACCTTGTGAATGAAGCGTTACCTGTTTCCCTGATGAGAACCTGATAGAGAACCTTTCAGGGCTCATTGTGGGCCTCAGTCTGGTGGGCAGCCCTCTGGTCTCGGTCACTGGCTTCAATAACCTGCCCAGGACTATAGTGGTGTGGTTTATAGTACCCAGGACCCCCTTGGCCAGGGCCTAGAATATAGTCTTCATCAGCTATTTTATCTCTCCGAACCAAGATTTGTCTGCTGTACTGTGGGATGATTCCTCTCTCAGCATGTTGTGGGAATTGTCTAGAAGAGAGGCAAGAGGCTTCCGCACTTCCCCCCCTCTCCACATCTTCCTTCAGTGTCTTCTACAGACTGTGATGTCCCGAGATCTTTGGTTTATGTGGTTGAGAGGGAGGGATGGTGTGGCTTGCTACCCATACCTGGGCAGATGGCTTTTCTTGCTGACTGTTAACCTTCACTAATTCACAAGTTGGGAGTCCTAACTCCAATGATCTACTGTATTTGGGGTAAGGGTGTAATTGAGATTCAACAAGGGCATAAGAGTGGTACTGTAATCCCACAGGATTGTGTCTTTTAAAATTTTTTTAAATTTTTATTATTTTTTATGTTTTTTTTTTTTTTAAGTCTTTTGAGACAGGATCTCCCTGTAGCCCCAGCTGGCCTAGAGCTCACTATGTAGACCAGGCTGGCCTTGAACTTACAGAGATCCATCTGCCTCTGCCTCCTAAGTGCTGGGACTGAAGGTGTGTACCACCATGCCTGGCCTGAGTGTATTTATATTTTAGGAGTATATTTTGTATGAGTGTATTGTGTGCATGTATGTAAGTGCACGTGTGTTGTACAATGCCCATGGAGATCAGAAGGGGGCATTGGATCCCCTGGAACTAGAGTTATGGATGGTTGTTAGACAGCATGTGGGTGCTGGGAACCCAACCCAGGTCCTTTGCAAGAGCAGCTAGTGCCCTTAACTGCTGAGTCATCTCTTCAGTCCTGGCCTCCTTCCTTCCTTCCTTCCTTCCTTCCTTCCTTCCTTCCTTCCTTCCTTCCTTCCTTCCTTCCTTCCTTCCTCCCTTCCTCCCTTCCTCCCTCCGTCCCTCCCTCCCTCCCTCCTCCCACTTCCCCCTCCCTCGCTTGCCAGAAACCAGGCATGGAGGCGTACGCAATACTGAGCTACATGGCAAAATTTGGTTTCAAAAAACAATGAAGTCCTAACACAGTCTCACTAATTTTTTCATGTAAAGATACATTTTTAAAGTTAAGAATTGATTTTAGCATTTTGTATTTTGTTTGTGTCTGGAGAACTTTTTTGTGGCGATAAGGACTGGACTCAGGGCTCTGCATGCTAAACAGAGGCTCTACCACTGAGCCACATCTCTAGTCCCTAGAGAAGTGTCTTTAACAAATGAAGCCATTTAATGGAGTCTCATAAATATCTCCAGATAGCAATTGCTTATTTTCACAATGTTTTGTTTTGCAAAAAACTGTTGACATATACTTATTTGCCATATAGTAATGTATGCATATTTATTTGTTGACATACATTATCTGTGTATATATCAATACAATATTCATTCACAAAAATGAATCACTCTCATCGGAATATAATTATTTGGTTTGTAATGGGTTTCTTTAAATGATGGGCTCCAGGAACAGTTAATTTTGTGTTAAATTAAAATAGCGACTGGTTTACCTGGAATTAATTTTACGTGTTTCAAACTCACCCAGTAATTTGGTGATGCTATTTAGGCAATTGACCACTGGGTGGCAATAAAGACCACAGAGTTCAGAATCCGCTCGCCCGCATTCAAAGGAAACCACAATTGGGATTGTCCACAACATAGCAGCTGTAGATGAACTATAATTCATCGAGGACACACCCAAAACACCCTGCCAACTGACTCTTCACTTATTGGTCTGCGTCTACTGTTACGATGTTGCTTTCACACAAAGAAATGGAATTACATTTAGCTGAGAGAAGCCTTTTATGATGAGTGACCATTGTACAAAAGATCATGGAAGACGGGCGTGGAAGAAAGACGTTCTCTTTATTTTACAGCGGAGAGTCCAAAGTTCAGAGAGGTTAAGTACAAGTTGTGTCTTTGATGATAGGGAGCAAGCTTGGACTTCTTTTTATAAAAGTTATCAGATTCTGGGGGAATGTTTTTTCCTTTTTCCTCTTCTTTCCCCTTTCCCCCTCCCCTCCCCTCCCCTCCCCTCTCCCCTCCCCTCTTCACTATGTAGCCCTGGCTGACCTGGAACTCAATATGTAGACCACGCTGGCCTCAAAATCACAGAAATCCACCTGCCTCTGCCTTCCACATGCTGGGATTAAAGGGGTATGACACCATGCCTGGATTGTAGCTACTTTTTGTTTTGACAATTGAAGTTATCTGCTGTACCTAATGTCAGACCAGCATACCTGATTTTTGTTCAGGTCAGGATTAATTCTCCCACACTGAGAACCACTAACTGATCCTTTAGCATAAAATTACATTGTATATGTATATGTACCATACATTATATATTCATCTTTTGATAGGCATCTGTGCTGGTTCCATTTCTCAGCTTTCATGAGGAATACAGCATACAACAGGAATATCAAGTGTCTCTGTGGCATGCCGACTTAAAGTCTTTCTAAAAAAACCTCTTTCCTTTTTCCTTTCCTTTCCCTCTCTTCTTTTGAGAACGTATTCCATGTTTATTAAGAAAACCCTACACCACTGGTTAAACCCACTCTTTGACAGGAAAGTGGCCATGGCCTGGGTCAGCCGGGATCTGAAGAAGCCCAGTCACTTTGGTTCTCAGGAGGCAGAAGAGGATGCTTCTGCTGCCCTGTGCCCAGTCTCTGTTAGTTGAAAGAGGCAGGTGGATGGAATACACAGTGCTGAGCACAGATGAGATCAGGGCATGTATCTACTTCTAGCACCATCACCCCCTACCCCCCAAAAAGCAAGACTTGGAAATGAAATAGCAACTCATTCCTCAAGTCACTAGATGCATGACCTTTATTAATGTGGCACAACCCACCTCTAAAGCCCCAATTTGAAGATAATGGTAAAGAGAGGAAATAGAATACAGTAGTTCCCTCTTTTCCTGGATTTCACTTTCTGAGATTACAGTTACATGAGGTCAACCACAGTTCAAAAGTATTTAGTGAAAAATTCTGCCAATACATAATACCTAAGTTTTAAGTTATGTGCCCCTCTGAGTAGCAGAGTAAACTTTCTTCCTGTACTGCTTTGGCCCTTGAATCATCCCTGTCAGGAGTATCTTCATTGTATATACTACCTGTCTGCTAATCGTTTGGTAGACATTCAGGTTATCAGATGGACTTTCATGGCATTGAAGTGCTTATGTCCAAGTAACCCTTCTATTCACTAATATCCTCAAAGCACGTATCTTTATTAGAGTTTATTGTTATAATTGTTCTGTTTTGTTATTAGTGATTGCTATTAATCTCTTCTTGTACCTAATCTATAAATTAAACTTAATCCTAAATATGCATGTGTAGGAAGAAACATAGTACATACAGGGGATCAAAATGCATTATTGGGCATTCACAGCGTGTCCTGGAATGTACCTCCACAGATGAAGTGTTACAATCTGAGTTTATTTTAAGTATTAGAGCTATATCACAATCCACTTTTTATGGTTTACCTGGAGTCTTAAGACTAAAGCACTCATACTAGTTTTTTGGTGGTTTAGTCTTATATTTTATAGTATGGGCTCCACCTGCTCTGTACCTGGCCTATTCAACGTCTGAATTATTCTTAAATGAGGGAGTCCAAGGGTAGCTGTTTTCACAATGAAAGCAAATTTCATTCTTATATAATTTAGAAGACTCTTTGGATATCGAATTTCAATAATGAATTTATGCAGCAGTTTGCAGATTCTTGCTTTCTGTTGACAAGGATATGACAAAACTGGCAGTTTCAAGTCAGCTGTAGATATAGGGTGAATGGGAAACATTGTGTTGTCACAGCAAAGAAGATTCTAGAACTGCTGTTACTTTGGAAAAATAACATTGTGCTCTTGTTGGTCCAAATGGAGCGTGTGATGCCTCCAAACTGACTCTGAAGTTAGAAATTTAAGTTTCAATATAAGATGTGGTAAAAATAACCATTACTCTGTGGTCATGGAAGCTCTGTCACTGCCTCTGGGCTCAGAGAGATGAACCCTGAGAGATGGTTCAAAGAAACTTTTCTCCTTTTCCTTTTATTTAGCATCAAAGATCTTTAAATGTATGATGACTGAGTCTTTGTACTCTGTATATGAAGAAACAAAGATACTGATTTCATATGGGGCAAGAAGATCAGTTGCAGAGTCTGGGTCTCTAGAGGTAGAGGTAAAGTTACCCAAGGCATCAGCAGAGAAGAGACCTTCTATCTCAAGACCTCTCCTTGGATCATTCTTATTCCCAGGCAGCAAGTGTCCCTCATAGCCTGCCATGCAAAAGCTTATACCATGAACACCATGAAGTGGGCAACTTCCAGAGCTTGACTGTTAGGAGGCTTGACTGTTAGGAGGCTGCTAGATGCAGGGTAGGTCAGTGGTGGGAAGACTTACCCTGGGTCACCCCAGAGAACTGGCTACACGTGCTACCATTTTATTTGGGAGTGGCCAGTCCCCGGATGGAGCCAAATATGAGGTATGTGATTTGAAGGT